ACCATCCAATGCAAAGTATCCAATGCAACCATCCAATGCAAAGTATCCAATGCAACCATCCAATGCAAAGTATCCAATGCAACCATCCAATGCAACCATCCAATGCAGAGTATCCAATGCAACCATCCAATGCAAAGAAATTATTGAGACAGACACTCTACCAATGACACCCCTGTTTTGCTAAATGAAGAAACCAGACCCCAAAGTCCACATAGTGTAAGAGTCCATGTGGTTGGCCTCTGAAAACGGTCAAACAAAGGACAGAAAGCAGATCACCTGTGCCACAGGCTGGGTGGGGGAGGAGCTGGCTACAAGAAACATGCATGAATATTTTGGAGACCTGGTTTTATGTGTTTGTCAAAATTCAGCAATCCCTGATCTAAATTGGGTTAATTTTGTTGGCTGGGAATCACTCCCCAATAAACCTGACCCTACCAAACTGTGGTAGACACAAATATTGGGGGAAATGATAATGAAAACAGGAACAGTAAGGAAACAACTGCTCGGGGCCCAGGGTAGAACCTCTGTTCTGGAGAGAGACCTCACTTGTTTGTCATACTCAACCCGGTGGAACCCCAGGATCTTCTGGTCCCAAGACATGAACAGGGTCACAGTTAAAGGATTTCTGGGTCCCTGGCTGTGGGACCACAGTCCCTGGTCTTGTGTAGTCACTGTGGGAAGCCACTGTGGGCCTCTGAGATGTCCACCTTCATTCTTGGGTCTTCTCCTTTCAGCTTCAGCAGTACCAGAGATTGAGGCAAGTGCAGGGCCGTCTCCTCTGGGCCCTGTACTCTGATCCCAGCACATCTGTCCTTTGCCAGGATGATGTAAGTCTCTCAGGAAGGGCCTCAGAAGGAGCCCAACAGTGAGCTGTCCCCCCATATCTCCCAGGTCTTGTCCCCAATGTCTCTCCACATTCAACCCGAGCGCTGTCATCTTCACAGTGCCCAGTTTTTTTATTTGTCCGCGTGTCCATCAAATCCACCCAGCACCCAGCTCTCTGCTCAGCTCAGAGATGAGGGTCCATGTTTCCTGCTGGACAAATCACCCAACTGTCACCCTTAGTAGCACTGAAGGAGAAGCCCCGTCTCCCTGCCATGCCCCACCCTGGAGGAGACGCCTCCACATAACCACTTCCTGGGCTGCAGGATAAAGGCAATGGAGAGGGGCCCAGGGCACATCACTGCAGAGCCTGAGGAGGTGAGGGTGTTGCACATTCATACCCCACATTTTCCATCCCAGACCCCACAGTGCTATCCCATCTCTTCCCCCTCCCCTCCCTCCCCCTACAGATGCTGTGGCTGCTGTTGCTGATTCTCCCCTGCCTGGGGGACTCCCTGCCCTTGACCCCAGGTGAGTACAGACCCTTTCTAATCCCCACCTATCCCTAAGCCTCTCTCTTGGGTCTAGGCAGCAGCCCGAAGGTGGTGTGTGGACCTCTGTGAGGATGACTGGCTCACTCCTGAGTTTGGGGAGGCTGAGCTGAGCTCTGGGTAAGGGTGCCTGGGTTCCTGATGACCCCCTTGTCCTGTCTCCTCAGCACCCAGGTCAGATGCTGAGCTCATGGGCATCATGGGGAACCATAAAGCCCCATCTGGGAGGTGGCCATGGCAGGTCAGCCTATGGTTCTATTACCCAGAAAATAAGGAGTGGAATACTCAATGTGGGGGCTCCCTCATTCACAAGGAATGGGTGCTGACTGCTGCCCACTGTGTTAAAGGGTGAGTGACCCCTTCACCTGCTTGGGTGACAATATTGGGGCTAATGCCATGCGTGTTGTGAGGTTTCCTGGGCAGTGTAGCTGCAGTCCTGGGTCCCAGGGGATTCAGTCTCCTGGAGTCTCCTTTCCCCCACTAGAAGGGAAACTCTTGGCTCCCAGAGGCTGACCCACCTCCTGCTGCTGAGCTGAGCTGGGTTCTGCTTCAGCCTCTGAGAACCTTCCGGTCTTCTCCCTTTCCCACCTTGCAACAGAGTAAAGCCTGAGAATGTACGGGTCCAAGTGGGACAAGCGCAGCACTCATGGAGTGGTGACCATCTGAATGTGACTGAGGTCATCCCCCACAAAGACTACAATGATGAGCAGGGACCAGAAGGTGGGAAAGACGTGGCTCTTCTGAAACTGGAGGCTCCGGTGACACTCTCTCAGCAAGTTCAGCTGGTCCACCTCCCTTCACATCAGCGCTCTCTCCACTCAGGCACTAAATGCTGGGTGGCTACCTGGGGAGACAGTGCATTCGATGGTAAGGGTCAGGATGCCTGGGGTCAGACATAGAGGGTGTGGGCATGGCGTAATCTGGAATCCCTTAGGGGTGGCGTGGGGGAGGTGGACTTGGGAAGCTTCAGAGAACAGGGTTAAGGCAGAGCCAGATGAGGTGGGAGGGAAGCTCTACCCTTACTCTGACCCAGATCCTGCATGGCCCTTCCTGCCCAGGGTTCTCCCTACATTTAAGGCGGAGGGAGAGAAATGAGGCTGAAAGGGACTAAGGGATGTCTCTGATGTAAATGACCCACATCCACTCTGACCCCAGGGTCCAGACTGCATTCCTCAGGGAGGAACTTACTCTGATTCTCCTAGTAACCATCCATGGGGACTAAGAAAACCCCACCTGAGTTTCTCTCCTGAGCCTGGTGCCCGCTAGATAGACTATGTGGAGAGGTTCGTGTGTTCCTTAGAGCATTCGTGGGGAAACTGAGGCTTAGCATGTGGTTCCAGAACCTGGTACCTGGGACTCCCAGTTGCAGGTTCAGTCTCTGCACTGCGACACCAGTGGGGACATTGATGGACTGGGTGATGGGGGAGGGGCACAAATCCACCCCGGACCACCTCCCTGGGGTGAACTCAGCTTCTTCCCACAGAGCGGCTGTCCCCTGTCAAGGACCTGCAGGAGGTGGAGGTCCCCATCGTGGACACTGGGGACTGCAGTCAGACATTCCAGGAGATTGACAAGGTCATCAAGGAGGACATGCTGTGTGCTGGGAGCGTGGACAAGGATTCCTGCCAGGTGAGACCCTCAGTCCTGGCCTCTGTTCAGGTCCCTCCCTGCTGCCCTTGGTACAACAGTGCTCACCACCTCACTCTTCTCCCCACAGGGTGACTCTGGAGGTCCTCTGGTCTGCAAAATCGGGCACAGCTGGGTGCAGGAAGGGGTGGTGAGTTGGGGTGAGTTCTGTAGCACTCCTGGGCTCCCTGGAGTCTACACAAAGGTGATGTCCTACTTGTCCTGGATCCGCTCCCATGTCCCTTCATCTCACTGAGCCCTGGGTGTGAACAAGGATACTGCTGACAGGAGCAGACCCTTCAGGATCTTTGAAGACCTCATGTTCCTGTTCCCAATGCCAACCCTCACTGAGCCCAACATCCTTCTCCATCCTGCTTGAGAACTCCAGTCGCTGCAACTGCTCTCCTCCCCCGCCCCCTCCCCGGTCCAGTCCATCCCCTGACAATTGAAAGGGACAGCAGGGACGTCTGATGACTTCCCAGAGGTGGGACAGGGATGGGGGACCTCCCTGAACCTCAGCCTCCTCAATGGTTCTCAATAAAGCGCATAATCATCCGGCTCTGAGTGTCCCACCTGTGGGCGTGGTCCAGGGAACAGTGGGCGGAGTCTTCCTGCTGTGGGGTTCCTCAGATGGGGGTGGAGGGGGGACTAGGTGAACACCAGACATAGATAGGGTCCAGAAAGCTGGGGTGGGGGATCAGAAGAACCCAGGAGATGGGGACTGAAGGATGGACCGTCAGTGGGATGGACTGACTCACAGTGCCATCCTCATCCTCCTCCGTCTTCCCACTCCCACCTCCTTCCCCACTCAGCCCTTGAAGGGAGAGTCCCGGGCTTGACGCACTAGGTCCTGACCTGGGATTGGGCTGCTCTCGGCTGTGGGCACCTGGGCTGGGCTCAACAATCTGGGTTCGGAGCTACAGGGCAGGGAGGGGATCTGGAAGGGAGGAGGGGACAAGTGAGCCAACCACCCACCCACCTTGTTTGTTGTGTTTCCGGAACTGTCGTGGTCCCCCACTTACAGGGATGCTCTGTGGTCACAAGGGTCCTGCAGTGGACTTTAGGGGGCTCGGACTGTCATCCAGCGACCACGTCCACTGTCTCCGAGACCACCAGGTGGCGCCCTTGCTAGGGTGATCCAATGCGCATGCGCGGGTGTGCTTCGCTGGGTCTCAGCTCCGGTTCCGCCCTGAGAGCATTCCCCCCATTCTCCACCATGCATACGACAGCCCCCAACGAAGTGGGTCCCACAGCACTCTCCTGTCTCCCAATTCTGGGTTGAGAGCCGATCTTTTTTCTCTGGGGGTGAGGACTCCCTCCTTGGTCATCCTCTCGGATCTTCAAGACCCTCTGACTGCTTCCCACAGACCACCAGTTCACAGGCCCCCCACGTCCCCAGGACAGGGGCTGGAGACAGGAGCCCACCCAAGCCTCAACTTAACATCCCCCACACCGTGCTCAGGCATGAGATTTCAGGAAATGTCAAGTAAATCATATTTTATTGGAAAGTTAAAAAGTCAAACTGATCTTAAAACATATGATGCACAAAATATCCACATTTTAAGTAAAGATGAATGTGACAGGACTGAGACTTGGGGGAGGGAGGAGGGAGGTGAGCTGGGTAGGGGCGGATCCTGTCATTACTTAAAGTTGGAGAAATCACAGACCTTGGGTAAAACCGAAATCAGATCATATCAGGCTTTTTCAACAGTAACAGTAATGCAAGTTAGGAAGGAAGGAATACTTTAAAGTGGGGCTGGAGGGGGAAGAAGAGCGTAGAACCCAGAACATTACCTCCTGGAGAAGCATGTTGAAAGACTGATGTTAATAGGTGGGTTCTGACTCACAGCGACCCTATCAACACTACACTGTTCTGCACCACCCTCACAGTGGATGTTACCACGGACAATCCGTCTTGTTGGGAGGCCTTCCTCTTTTTCACTGACCCTTCACTTTACCAATCATGATGTCCTTCTCCAAGGACTGGTCCTTCATGACAACATGTCCCAAGTAAAAGAGACGAAGCCTCACCGTCAGAGGAGTAATCATCCAGCCTGTCCTTCGGCGATTGAAAATACCGTGGCTTGAAACAGATATCCTCAAACTGATATCTTTGCTCTTGACCCCTTTAGAAAGGTTGTTTGCAGTTTATTTGCTTAATGAAATCCATCATTTGGTTTCTTGACTGCTGCTTCCATGAGTGATGCTTGTGGATGGAAATAAAAAGTTGACAATTTTAACTTTTCTCCATTTGTCATGTTGTTATTTAGTGGTTCAGTTGTGATTTTAATTTTCTTTACATTTTTATGCAATCCATACTGAAGTCTGTAGTCTTTGACCTTTATCAGTAAGTACCTCGAGTCCTCTTCACTTTCACACCGTCTTTCAGCAAGCAAGATGTGTCATCTGCAGATCGCAAGTAGTTGATGAATCTTCCTTCAATCCTGATGTCACGTTCTTCTTCATAAAATCCAGCTTCTTGAATTATTTGTTCAACATACAGATGGAGTAAGTATGGTGAAAGACTACAACCTTGACACACACACCTGGCCTGATTTTAAACACGATTCGGTGTTCTGGAATTCTCATTCTTCACAATGTTATCCATAGTTTGTAAAGATCCACACAGTTGAATGCCTTTGCATAGTGCATAAAGCACAAGTAACTCTATCTGGCATTTTCTGCTTTCAATCAAGATCCATCTGGTGTCAGAAATTATATCCTCATTCCAGATCCCCTTCTGAACCCAGCTTGAATTTAAGATAGCCCACTTCCTGTCCGTTTGTTACTGAGGTGGCTTGTTTGTCGTGGTTGCTGGAAGCTATGTCACTGGTATTTTAAAGACCAGCAGGGACACCTGTAGTGGACAGACTTCAGCAGAGGCCTCAGATAAGACAGAGCAGAGCATTGTCTGGTACAAAGCTGGATCTGGGCCCCTCAGCTTGGAAAACTCTCAAAATACAACTGGGAAAGAACTACCTCCTCAAAGTAGAATTGATCTTAAGGGTGTGGATGAAGCATAACAATGTCTAGATGGCACAGAACCGGGCAGTGTTTCGTTCTCTTGTGCATTGGTTTGCTGTGAGTTGGAACAGACTCAACGACACCTAACAATGACGACAACAGGCAGGGTTTTTAGCAGAGAGCACACTGGATTTAGCCTCGCTGGGATCTGGAGTCTGGGTTCTAAATGAGCATCACATCTCTGTGATTCTAAGCACACAGTTTCCCCATCGGAAGCTTGGCAGCCGTTCTCCACGGGTCAAGTCCGTGGAGAAGTCCAACTTCTTGTCTTGGAACAAGTGTTATTGGTCATTCAGTCCATCAGCAAGCATTTATGAGGGCCAACCAATTGCAGGGCAATGAGAACGCCATGAACAAAACTAAGCCTGATTAGGAAGTCCTAGATAGAATGGGAGGAAAATGTGGAACAAAACTCAGCATCACAAGAAAAAGACAAGACTTACTGGTCAGAGAGACCGATGAAATCCCCAAGATGATGGCCCTTGATCACCCTTTGGGTCTGGAAATGAACTCACCCCCATGGCTCAGTCTCCAGCCAAGCAACAGACAGGTGGAGAATGGAAGCACACACTCTTCAGAATCATCAGCTAGTTGAGATCAAAAGGGCAGCCTTTACTCAATTTACCCAAATGCGGCACTGTAAGATAAGCACAGGACTGCTGACCACAAGGTTGGTGATTCAAACCCACCAACTGCTCCTATCCAGGGTCATTATGAGTCAGAACGGACTCAATCACACTTAACTATAACACAAGGACCAAGTTCAGAAGAGTTAGGACAAAGGGGATGAAAATACAGACTACAGGGAGGACGTGGAATGAGCGGTGTTGCATTGGGGGGACTGTGATCAATGACATGAAACAAAGTGTGTCGGAATTGTTGACTAGAAAACTGATCTGCTCTCTAAAACTGCACCCAATTCACAAGAAAAAGTTTAAGGTTCATGGAAAACTGGGGGAACCCACACAGTGGGTCTGCCTTAAGGGTTTACAGTTGAGAGTATGATTCTATGAGCTTTTTATAAATTCAAGGCAGAAATCAAGCAGAGGACTGGATGGGGTGAGAGTGGGGATAGCTTGTATCGGGGTCAAGGCCCATCTCAGCATTTGATGGACATCTGATGGGTGATTTGAAGATACCATCAATGCTTCTCAGACCAAGGTGGGTCCAGCTCTCCAGCCCGCTTTCCTATTCCACGTCAAGGTTTGTTCTTAGGACAAAAGGGCACATTTATTGGCGACAGGAGGCTCAAACCTGGAGGATGAGAACATCTGTCATCTCTCTGAGGACCAGAAGCAGCCATGCAGAGATTGATCAAACCTGGGGGAACCCCACCCTCAAAAAGATTCTTGTGCCCCCACGATGGAAATAAAACATTCAAACCATTGAACTTTGAACACACCGATGGGATTGGACAAAGTCCTGGTGTGGTGCTGTGGGTTAATGCACTGGACACCAAGGTGGGTTTGAACCCCAAGGTCAGTGGTCCAAATTCACCAGTCACTCCTCAGAAACCCCATACAGGGTCGCTGTGAGTTGGAACCAACTCGGTAACAACGGCTTTGGGCAGTGGCTCTATTACAGTAACCATGGACAGCAGACTTGATGGACATTGGAATGTTTTACTTGACCCGATTGGTTCAAAGACTCTGGGGGCGTGTGATGCCCCCAAGCCACTGAAGCTGTTTTGTACCAGCCTAGGCAGAGTCCTGGTGTGGCACTTTGGGTTAATATGCTGGACTGCAAAGTTGCTTGGAGCCGCAAGGTCGATGGGTCAAGTTCAACAGCCACTCATTGGACCTGTACAGGGTCGTTATGGGTCAGAATTGACTCAACAGCACTTACCAACAACACACTCCTAGGCTGGATGTGCTAAGATCATAGTGTGGTGTGTCTCATTCCCCCAACAAAGGTGAAGAAGTAGCTATTCATGGGCCTTCCCACACCTGAACCTTTAGACAGCGGTCCAGCGCTGGGTTGTTTATGGAAGCCATGCTTTGCTGCCATAGCTCCTCCAGATGCTCTGAGTACAGTATTGCAGAAAGAAATTAATCAGACAAGGGTAACAGTAGGCATTACCCAACTGGATCCTCAAACTAAGGCCCTAATCCAGCCCAGGGTGCATCATAGCTGGACTGGGAGCCACAGTGTCCCAGGGCTGAGATGCTATGGGGTTGACTCAGCCTCAGCTGTGGGAATAGACACCGCCAAGCCAGTCTCCATAGTCCTGCTCATTCAGGTTGGCTCTTCAGATAATGTTCCTACATTCTGGTCTCCCCAGAACAGAACCTCAGGCTTCCAGAGGGGTGGATGTGAAGAAAGCCTTGGACCATGTGCTCATGGTGCCCTGAGGACACACATCGTACTGGGACAAACGTTCTAGGAGACACACAGCCCAGGAGAACACAGGTCCCAAGTGGACACATCCCAGGTGTATGTGTCCACCATAGTCCTCACATGGCCCCCAGGTCTTTCCCACAAGTCCTGTGGGGGCAGCAGGGGACTGTATGTCTGCGGGGCTCATCTCTTGCCCAGGCTCCTGGTGGCAGCTGGACCGGGGTGCGCAGGCGCGAAATAGGGCGGATAAACAGGCAGCATTGCGGCTAGAGTTGGAAACGCTCCAGCAGGTGGCCAGTGTGCTCCGACCTCTTGCTCTGCACGAATTGGCCACCAGGGGGCAGTTCTGCCCTCTCAGCGAGCATCTTGTCTCAGGACCAGGAACCCAGCCTCTGAAACTTTTCCATCCCTGGATCCTTCTTTCGTCTCTGGGGTTTCACAGCTTGACTTTTTATTTTATGAACACTATTACTATTTTTGGCAAAACACAGTTTGATGGACTCTTATGATTTAGAAAAACTGTACACAGAAATTACCAGAGAGGGACTCGGGCATTCGTGTGAACCCAGGATGTCAGCATGTCACATCTCAGAGGTTCTCCATGTGAAAGTGGGTTTGGTTTTTTGCCTTTTTGTTCTTTCTAACATCCCAGCTCTCTCTCCTCCCAGCCCCTGACAACCATTGCTTTCTATCTTTCTCCATTTGCCTAGTCTGGGCATCTCCTGCAAGTGGGATCACACAATATTTGTCTTGTGTGACTGACACCTTTTTTCACTCAATACTGCATTTCCAAGGCTTGAGTGTGCTATAGCACACAGCAGAACTTCATTTCTCTTTCTGGCTGAGTAAAATTCCATTGTGCAGATGGACCACATGGTCCATTATCCGTTGGTGGGCACGTGGACTGTTTCTACCTTTCAGCTACGGTGATCAGCTTGTTAAGCCTCAAAGCCTGGCTAAGCTCCATCTCCCTGCACATGGTGCTCTCAAACCCCCTTACAGCCATGTCCAAGGGCAGCCCCTCCGAGGTAACACAGTGCTCTGAGGGGCTTCTGGCCCACACAGACCCCTGCTCAGTGGCACCGGAGTTACAGCTTCACCCCAGCAGAAGGAGCGCATGCATCCATGGGGGCAGCTCGGCCCCTGCACGCTTCTCCAGCCTCCGGTGAGCTGGCAGGAGAGCCACCACGCTCCTGGACCCCCTCCACCCCCATGCATATAAGGAGGAAGTACCAAGAACCACGTGTCCCTAAGCAGCTTCAGGCCTGGGGGCCCAGACTGAGTCTTGGGCCTCAGCTAAAGAGGCAGGGAGGAAGGGAAGAGAGAGAAGGAAGAGGGTGAGGAGGGAGAGAGATAGGAAGGGAAGGGAGGAGGGAGGAAAGCAGGAAGGAGAGGGGGAGAGGGGAGAAGAACAGGTGGGAGGGAGGGAGGGAGGAAAAGGAGGAAGGAAAGAAAGAACAGGGATGGGGCAGAGCAGGACACACAGGATGGTCTGACTGAGTTCTCAGAGCCACCTTCACAGATGACAAGATGCAGCAAAACTGTCTACCACAAAGGGCCCCCTGCCCAAATACCCACAGTGCAGGGACCCACCAGGAGTCCCCCAGCCCTCATGACGACACCCACAGTGCAGTAACCCACTTGGAACACCCCTCACCACACAGCAAACCAGCCTGAACACCCACAGCGCAGGGACCCACCTGGAGCACTCCCTTACCACCCCTCCCCGTGGCAAGTCCATGAACGGTCCTGAGGCCACTTTTCAACAGTTTAATGGTCCCCCACAAACCCTACCCCTGAGTCCTGCCTGTAAACCCCCTCCCTGACTGTCCCCAGAGCAGCTGAGGATGAGGACCCTGTGGTCTCCCCAGATCTCACAACCCAGGGCAGCCACTTCTAGTGCCAGCTGGAGCTGGGGACGTACTGGTGGATCCAGGACACGTAGCTCATCACCCGGGCATAGACCCCTGGGAGGAAGCGGTGACCACAGCGGTCACCCCAGCTCACCAGTCCTACTTGGAACCAGGTGTCACTCCAACTGCAGACCAGGGGGCTCCCGGAGTCACCCTGTGGGTAGAGGCGGCACTCAGCAACCTCATCTGAGCAGTGGGTCCTCCCTCTTCCTCAATGGACAGAGGGTCACAGGTGGGGTTTCACCTGGCAGGAGTCCCGGCCCTCGCTCCCAGCACACAGCATATCATCTTGGATGACCTTGATGGTTTTGTTTGAAGGGAAGCCATTCAGGTAACGCTGGTTACAGTCCTCATTCCCCACTATGGGGATCTCCACCTCCTGGAGGTTGTAAGGCCCAGGCAAGGGCACTGCCGGGAGAGTCCAGGTGAGTGGGAGCAGGTCCCCAGGGCAACCCCGGGGTCCCCTGCAGTGCCTGGATCTGCTCATCTTCGGAGGTGGGGGGCAATGTGGGGGACTATAAGCCACAAAGTGCCCCCAACAGTGCAGAGAAGGCGGCACCCTCAGGACCCACTCCCACCAAGGATCGCTGACCCTGACCTCCCAGCTTGACAGCGCCCCAGCCGGTCACCCAGCACGTCTTCCCGGCCGGCACCATCAGGGAGGCTGGTGGGAGGGTGACAGGCCGCACATAGTCAGACTCCATGACCGAAGTCTCCAGCTTCAGCAGGGCAACGTCTGCTCCTCCCTCGGCAGACAGACTGAGGTTGAACTTAGGGTGGCGGATGATCTCAGTCACATTCATCAGCTGGTCATTGTCGTAGAGTTTCAGCTGCCCCACCTGCACCCGATAGGCACTCGGCTCCAATTCTATCCTGGGAGAGAAGGGTAAGGAGCCCGCTCTCAGTGCGCTTCCCTGAACATAAGGGGTCTCCCACCACCCATGTGGGTTCCCACCCCACCTAGAGGACAGCAGGAAATCACTCACGGAACAGGACAGTGGGCCGCGGTCAGCACCCACTGGGGGTGGACGAGGGAGCCCCCACACACGTGCTGCCACAACCCAAGCTCCTTGTTGTACACTCGGAGGCTAACCTGCCAGGGCCATCTCTTGGGTGGGGCATCATGGCCCCCAACGATGCCCACAAATTCAGTCCCTGGGATGGGGGCTGGGAAGTCAGAGCAGGGAGGCATCAAGGACCCGGGCTTGCCAGCACCAAGCTCAGCTCAGTCCCTGGATTTCAGGGGTATCCAATCAACCCCCCTGGAAGGTTAGTGGAGGCTTTGGGGGGCAGTGGCGGGGCAGTGGGCAATGGAAGAGGTCAAGATTCACCTGGGGTCATAGACAAGGAGCTCTCCAGGCAGGGTAGGGCCAGAAAGATCAGCCACAGCATCTGAAGGGGGAGGGGAGGGGAGGGGTGAAGACATGGGGCCTGCACGCCCGGGTCCAGAACAGACAGGGCAGGCTGTGAGTGGGCACCACCTCACCTTGAAGGGACACTGTCCCCTCCAACCTCTCAGAGCCCCCTTTGTCGCAGGAAGGGTGGGCAGGGCCAGACACCCCAGGGAAGGCGATGGGCAAGAAGTGGGGGTTTCTCCTTTGTGGGACCAAGGCAGTCTGAGGTCAGAGTGTCCATCAGTAAGCACAAGGTAGCTCTTGCTGTGCCCCCAACCTCAAGCCACTCCCAGCCAGCCCTCAGCCAAAGAACCCCCCATCCACACTTCCTGCTACTCCATCTCAGCTGCAGCCACACAGCTAGCCTCAGTGGGTGCCAAGCAGAGAAAAGAGATGCCAAGAACTCCCAGGGCCCAGGGGGCAGAACGGGGGGGGCAGTGGCCACCAGGTGCTCAGCAGTTCAAGCACATGGCCACCACAAGGACAAGTCCTCCAGCTGAATTTTCAGTGAGGCAGCATGGAGTATGCCACCATGTGACTGGACAGGGCACGCAGCTGCCATCTGACTAGACAACACAGTGCCGCCATCTGACTGGACAGGACACACTGTCTCTTTTCCCATTGGCTCCTCCAGAGGCAGGTGGTAGGGTGAGAACTGGCATGAGGATATTAACAGGGATGGACCTCTGTGCACGACAGAGGAAGCAGACAGGTGCAGGCAGCAGAACGGAGCAGAGAAGAAGCGGGGTAACAGAAGCTTGACCACCCCACAGGAAGATCTAGAGTGCATATGAGCCTCAGTGGGACAGAATGTCCAGCTGGCCTGCCTCTTCCTGGGTCACTCCTTCATTGCAGCTAATGAATGATTCAGCATGAAATGGGTGTCTATTGACAACTCTCCTAGCAGCTGAAACAACAGACTCGTCCCTAAACAGGGATCTGGAGGACTCATCTCTGCCCAACACAGTCTACACCTTGAACTGCTTCATGTAGGTCAGAGACCAGCTGACACGGGACTCCAGGGGGCCTCTCTTTCTAGGGAAAACTCACAAGAGGAGAATTCGTGGGACATCATCTACAGCCTCTGTTTCCACAACAGCTTTCAGAAACTCGGCTGAGACTCACAGGCCCACTTCTCCATCCACTCTAGATTCTCTTATTCCCTGGTGTTTCCAGCGTACCTGGGGCTGTGACCCAGACCCTCATCCCTGAGGAGTCTGAGCCCTGGTCACCATGGACTTCCAGGTCACCATGGACTTCCAGGCTAGGGTAGCTGCATTTGTCCACTTACCATCACAATTGATAAGGGGGACAAGAGGCATGCAGTGGCTCTCCTGGGTGCCACCCATAGTCTCCCCTGCCCCCCATTATGACATAACAACAGCCTTGCTGCTCCTGATGGCCAGGGTCAGTTGTTCAGACCAAGATAATAACACTGGATCTTACCTACTGCTCCCTGGACATAAAGAACTCAAACTGTCAAGGCATCAGTCATAACTATTTAAAAAGGATTCTAGCTGTTGCGATGGTTGTGTGTCAACTTGGCTGAGCGGTGATTCTCTGGTTTGGTAGTTAGGATGGAGTCACCCACCGTGATATGATCTGCTACAGTGTACCTATCTTCATGCTAGATCTGCTAGGAGCAGCCAATCCACTGAAAGGGAGTTCCTAGGGGGTGCGACCTGCATCAGATATATAGAGAGATGTTCTAGTAAAACGCTTACTTTCTGCTTGCTCTGGGTCCTGCTTCAGGCTCTCATGATCTGACCCCTGATTCTTGCTGCATTGCCTGCAGGTCGTGGGATTCATTAACCCCTGCAGCCTGCTGTCTTGCCCACTGGCCTTGGGTCAGTTTGTACCTGCAGTTACGTGAGTCGGGAGTAGCTTTTAGGCTGGCATTTGACCCGCAGATTTGGCACTTGCCAGCCTCTACAATATGTCAACTATCTCCTTGAGATAAACCTCTCTATATACATAAATAAGGAGCTCTGGTAGCATAGTGGTTACGAACTGGGCTGCAAACCACAAGGTCAGCAGTTCGAAACTACCAGTTGTTCCACAGGAGAAAGATGAGGCACTCTGCTCCCATAAACATTGACAGCCTCAGAAACCCTGTACAGGTTCACTATGAGTCAGAACCGACTCCACAGCACAGAACCACCACCATATACATAAATATCCACCCCCCGTCTGTCACTTCATTGTGCAGTGGTGGCTTGCGTGTTGCTGTGATTCTGGAAGCTATGTCACAGATATTTTAAACACTAGCTGGGTTGCCTGTGGTGGACAGGTCTCAGCTGAGCTTCCAGACGAAGACACACTAGGAAGGAGTCCCAGTCTGCTTTTGAATATTTAGTCACTGAAAACCTTAAGAATAGCATAGAAATACTCTCAGATAGCACCAGAATAGTGAGGAGTGAAACATGCTGAAGCACATCAGAATATTGTCAGATATAGTGCCGGAAGATGAGCCTATCAGGTTAGAAGGAACACAAAATACAATGGAGGGAGAGCTGCCGCCTCAAAGTAGAGTTGATCGTGAGGATGCGAATGGAGTAATATTTTCAGTACCTTCATTTGCTTTTGGGACACAACTCGAAATGAAAAGAAACAGCTGTAAACACCATTAATAATCAGAACATGGAATGTATGAAGTATGAATATGGGCAAATGGTAAGCTGTCAAAATTGAAATGGAACACATAAACATCAATATCCTAGGCATTAGTGACCTGAAGTGGACTTGTATTGGACATCTTAAATCTGACAATAGCATAGTTAACTATGCCAGGAATGGCAAATTGAAGAGGTATGGCATCACGTTCATCTACAAAAAGAACACTTCAAGATCTGTCTTGACGTATAATGCTGTCTGTGATAGACAAACATCCATGCACCTACAAGGAAGACTAGTTAATACAACTATTATTCAAATTTAGGCACCAACCACTGAAGCCAATGGTGATGAAATTGAAGAATTCTACCAACTTCTTCAATATGAAATTGACCAACCATACAATCAAGATGTATTGATAATTACTGGCGATTGCAATGCAAAGGCTGGAAACAAAGAGGAAGGATCAGTAGTTGGAAAATATAGCCTTGGTGATACAAACAATGCGGAAGATTTCATGATAGAATTTTGCAAGACAAATGATTTCTTCATTACAAATACCTTTTTTAAACACCATAAAAGATAACTGTAAACACGGACCTCACCAGATGGAATACCCAGAAATCAAATTGACTACATCTGTGAAAAGAAACGGTGGCAAAGCTTCATATCATCAGCCAAAACAAGGCCAGGTGCAGACTGTGGAACGGACCATCAATTACTGATATGCAAATTCAAATTAAAGCTGAAGAAAATGAAAACAAATCTACGAGAGCCAAAATATGACCTTGAATATATCCCACCTGAATTTAGAAATCATCTGAAGAACAGATGTGATGCACTAGATGCTAAAGACCGAAGACCAGAAGAGTTGTGCGATGACATCAAGAACAATATACAGGAAGAAAGCAAAAGGTCATTAAGAAGACAAGAAAGAAGGAAAAGACAAAATGGAAGTCAGAGAGACTCTGCTCTCCAGTGTAGGAATGCTAAAGCAAACAGAGGTGCGGAGGTACAAGAGCTGAACAGAAAATTTCAAAGAGGAGTTCAAGAAGACAAAGTCAAATATTATAACGAAATGTGCAAAGACCTGGAGTTAAAACACCAAAAAGGAAGAACACATCCAGACTTTGTCATGTTGAAGAAACTGAAGAAAAAATTCAAGCCTCAACTTGCAGTGTTGAAGTGTTCTATGGGCAAAATATTAAATGATACAGAAAGCATTAAAAGAAGATGGAAGGTCGGAAAGTTGGAAATAGAAATACTTTATGATCCAGCAATTCCTCTACTTGGTATATATCCACAAGAAATACGAGCCATAACACGAGTAGATATATGCACACCAATGCTCATAGCAGCACTGTTCATAATAGCAAAAAGATGGAGACAGCCTAAGTGCCCATCAACTGAAGAATGGATAAGCAAACTGTGGTACATACACACAATGGAATATTATGCTACCTTGAAGAATAACTAGGAAGCTGTAAACCACCACATAACATGGATGAACCTTGAAGACGTTATGCTGAGTGAAATTAGTCAGTCACTAAAGGAGAAATATCGCATGAAGGACCTGGCACCTGATCAACGGAATGACATTGCAACTACCCCGCCCAAATCTTTATACCCCCAAAAAAATCTCAATACCCCC